TAGATAATGTGTTTAATTGGTCATCTGGGCAACTGGAGAAATTAGTTTTATTTGATGCTGTGACCCTAAGGAATAAAGAATCTAGAGAAATACTGCACACCTCCCTTGGTCATAACAGGAGAAATAACCCAAATAGAAGCCAATTGAAATATGAAGCAGCAATTTTCACACTGGGGACAGCTGTTTTCTGAGACACAGAAAGAGAGAGACACAGTGTATACTGCAGTATGGAGCAGAGAAGGGCTGTTAAAATAAAACAAAGATCTGTGGGTGAAGGAAATCTGAAACAAACAAAAACAGAAGTTGCTGCAGAAACTCAGCAGGTCTGGCAGCATTTGCAGAGAGAAAACAGAGTTAATATTTTGAGTCCAGTGATACTGCCAGAGCTGCTGAGTTTCTCCAGTAAGTTTCATTTTAGTTTGCTTTCCCTTGCTTGCAGGAGGCACAGAGTGACTGGTTCACATTTATAAAGGTCTCTGACTTACTAATTAGAAGTCACAACTTACAGCAACTGCTGTAGGAAAGATAAGCTGCTTTTCTTCAGGCCTGAAGTGTTTATTTCTGCAGAAAACGGATGCATTTCCTGAACTTATGGTGATCTAATGACTTCTCAGTTTCTTGTTCACTGCCACAAGTGCTGTGCGAACAGCACCAACAATGAGTGTCAGGTTACTTGATTTTAAAAAGTGCCATCATCCTTCAGCAACCCTTGGTTTTAAATTGATTTCTTTTCCTCCTTCATTCCAGTTCACAATCCAAAATGCCAAAAAGTGAAAAGACCATCTTTACAGCTTGATGTTTTGCTGGGGAGAATCATGTATCTCAGATGTAATGTAACTAGCTGATATGTAATAACCAATAACTCAGTTAAGTTTAGCATAGTTTTGGGAAAAATGGTAAAGATAGGTTGGGAATAAAAGATTTAAACTGGGGAAAGGCTAATTCTACCAAGAAAAGATTTGCCCCAAATGGACGGGAAGCAGTTCCTCGTAGATAAAACTGTGTCAGAGCACAGGGGGGAAATAACATGAGAATGGGGCAATGATATTTCTGTAGAGATTTTGGGTGGACTAGGGCCAGAAGAACCCTGAATGTCAAGGGACTTAATCATAGAAGTGTGGCATCTCTATAGTGTGAAAGCAGGCCATTTGGCCCATAGAGTCCTCACTGACCCTCTGAAGAGCATTCCACTTAGACACATCCCCCTACCCTATCCCTGTAACCCTACATTCCTCACGGCTAATCCACCTAGCCTGCACTTCCCTGAACACTACGGGCAATTTAGCATGGCAAATCCACCTAACCTGCACATCTTTGGACTGTGGGAGGAAACCAATGCAGACACAGGAAGAACGTGCAAAGTCCAAACAGACAGTCGGCCGAGAGTGGAATTGAACCCAGGTCCCTGGTGCTGTGAGGTAGCAGTGCTAACCACTGAGCCACTGTGCCACCCCTTTATTTATCCTAAATAAAGATCAGGGTTAAGAAAAAAGAAGAGAAGCTTTTGGCAGACACAGGTGGTACAGTATGGTAGAGTTTCCAGAGGATTATAAAAAGTGAAAAAGTAAAGATGCCATAGTCCTCTCATTAGAGAGATGACTGGTGGTGGTTTAACCTGATGCTCACCATACCTCAGGTGATGGAGTTCTTGGAAAGGTGAGTCCTTCCCAGTAACATTAGAATGTGCAGGAAACTGGACCCAATCTGTTGGCATCATATTGGAACCCAGTGTAAGCATCGTTTTTGTGTGTGTTTGATTTACATGCCTACTTACTGAGACTTGTCTTACACTAACAATGAGACATGGTTTATTATCATGCATTTCTATAAAATCCGTCTTTTCATCTAACTTCCTGAGTAACCTTACAGTTCTTGAATGCCTATGTTTTCACACTGGTTTAAAATTTGCTTTGGAAACACAAGATGGTAAAGAGGTTTATACTGTGTCAATTATATCTCGCCAACTGGCCAAACTGAGCTTGAGGCTGTTCTTCCTGCTCCCAACCTTCCTGCTGCTTGTGCTAATGTTGTCTCTGGAGTGTCAGCCCCTCTGATTTGAGTGTCTCCTTTAAATACAGTTCTCTGGGTCATCCTCAAGTACATGGTGTGGAGGTGTCGGTGTTGGACTGGGGCGGACATGGTCAAAAGTCATGTGGTGCCAGGTTATAGTCCAGCAGGTTTATTTAAAATCACAAACTTTTGGAGCACTGCTCCTTCACCAGACAAAAAAGCAGCGCTCTGAAACTTTGTGATTAACCTGGTGTTGTGTGACTTTTGACTTTATCCCCAAGTACAGAGATTTACTATCATTTAACTATGTTGGCATGGTAACCAACATGCAGACTGTTGCTATGTAGTTACAGCAGTTTGATACAGCAATGTAATTAACCTAATTCATTTACTCCGTGTGAATGAGTCTCTGTCCCAGAAAAAGGTGTTACAAAAGGCAGTACTACGTATTGTAATCTTCCTATTGATTGAGCCGACCCTAGGAGTCAGTCTGTCTCAAAAACAGTTCCACTGAAATTCCGAGACAACAAGGTGCAGAGCTGGATGAACACAGCAGGCCAAACAGCATCAGAGAAGCAAGAAAGCTGACGTTTCGGGTCTGGACCCTTCTTCAGAAAAATGAAATTTCTGAAGAAGGGTCCAGACCCGAAACATCAGCTTTCCTGCTCCTCTGATGCTGCTTGGCCTGCTGTGTTCATCCAGCTCTACACCTTGTTGTCTCAGATTCTCCGGCATCGGCAGTTCCTACTATCTCCACTGAAATTCCGATGTATTCCTCCATCTGAAACCTCGCAGCATTGTCTCATCAATACAGTCAATCCACGTGAATGGCTCTCTCTGGCCTGATCCAATTTCTGGAGGTGCCGATGTTGGACTGGGATGGACAAGGTCAGAAATCACACAACACCAGGTTATAGTCCAACAGGTTTGTTTGAAATCACGAGCTTTTGGAGCTTTACTCTGAAAGCTTGCGATTTCAAATAAACCTGTTGGACTATAACCTGGTGTCGTGTGATTTCTGACTAATCCAGTTTGACAATGAATTGTGAAATTTTCCTAGCTTACTATCCCACTTCCCTCCCCAGCATGCTTTTCAGTTTGCCAATGTTGCTTTTAATGTCCCAAAAGAGCCTGTTATTTTGTTTTAGAGGAACATTTCACTATCCACACCAGCCCTCCAGCCAATGAGCTAACTAAGCCCCACTATAACACAAATGCCAGGGCTGAATTAAAAAAGAAAATTGCGAAAGCTAAGACAGTGCATAAGAAAGTATTGGTGGGTTGAGTTTTACAGTCATAGAGATATACAGCATGGAAATAGACCCTTCAGTCCAACCCATCCATGCCCACTAGATATCCTACATTTAATCGAGACCCATTTGCCAGCATTTGACCCATATCCCTCTAAACCCTTCCTATTCATATACCCATCCAGATGCCTTTTAAATGTTGTAATTGTACCAGCCTCCACCACTTCCTCTGGCAGCTCATTCCATACACGCACCACCCTCTAGCAGAATAAAAGAAAACCAAAGATTTTGTTTCAAAAGTATATAAAGAGCAAGAGAACAATTAGGGAAAGAATAGGGCCCTTTAGGGGCCACAGAGGTAATCTGTGTGCGGATGCAGAAGACATGGGCACTGTCCTCAGTGAATAAGTTGTGTTGGTCTTCACAATGGAAAGGACAATCTTAGAATCCCTACAGTGTGGAAACAGGCTCTTTGGCCCAACAAGTCCACACCGACTCTCAGAGCATCCCACCCAGACCCATCCCCATATAACCCACTTATATGGTGTTCCCATGTGTCCGCTGCCCTTGTCCTTCTAGATGGAAGTGGTTGTGAGTTTGGAATGTAGTCAGACTAGAGCAGAGACAATGGGCTGAATGGCCTCCTTCTGTACTGTAAACACCCTTTGACTAATAGAGAGCCCCTGAGTTGAAATTAATTGTGTTTCAGGAAACAATATCTTCCTGAACTATGTTTACCATGTCAGGTAATTGCCTTGTCAATGTGGGTCAGAGTCCTGTTCTTGGTCATCTCATCCATGTTATGTCAGTCTGCATACACATCCCTATGTCCCAGATAAACTGATGGTTATCATATTGCTGTTTGAGGGAGCTTGCTGTGCGCAGGTTGACTGCCACAGTTTGTACATTACAGCAATGACAGAACTTCAAAAATGAATTCATTGATGTCCTGAAGCTGGACAGAACACTACAGAAATGTTCTTCCGCAATTAAACTGACTGCACACCTCGGTACTGGGCAGTGTGTTCCATATTAAAAACAGAGAGTGCTGGAGAAATCCAGCAGATCTGGTCCCATCTGAGCAGAGAGACAGATTTGATGTTTCAAGTCCCATGTGACTTTTCTTCCTTTATTTGGACTCAGAATGCTAACTCTGTTTCTCTCTCCACAGATGCTGCTGGACTTGCTGAGTTTCTCCAGCGTTCTCTGTTTAGATTTCAGATTTCAAGAACCAACTGTTTTGTGCTTTTACATTATTGTGTTCAGTAATCTCCCAGCTGTACCTGAGGATAGCTCACTGGTTTGGCATCATCACAGCCTTTCCCAGAGCTGCAACATTATGGAATCCTTCACCTCCTTCAGTCTATCCCTCGTCCTACGATCCACTTTCAAATCCAAGTTTTTGCAGGGTGAATGAGGCGGAGGTACAGATCAGTCATGATCTGGCGGAACAGTGAAACAGGCTGCAGAGGCTGAATGATATCCTACTCTCCCAAACTTCCTCGGAATCACCTAGTTACTGCTCAATCTCTAAAGTATCTCATTGACTCCTTAACATTTGCAGCTTCAGATATAGCCTCAGCTTTATCCTCACTGAGATTGTATTATGATGCAGGTTCTGGACTCACTTCAATGTGAATGTGTTTATGTGTGTAAATGTGTTCTCTACCCGTTAATGTGTGTGCTCACGCACACATAGTCTCTGTTCATGAGCAATGATGTGGCACATAGTAGGCAGTGCAGTATTTAACACTCATTTATTGATTTAAATGAAATAACATCTTTTTATTTGTTTTAAGCAAATAGCATAAAAGCTGATAACATGAATTCTAGCATTTTCAAAGCACAAAGTTAGCTTAATAACATTTCTCCATCTTCCTGGCCTCTATTTTGATTTTACGAATGCAGCCCTCAAGTAGAGAACAGGTTAAATCGATCCAGAGCTGTAACACAACCTCCAACTCCAGGAGGACATAATGTGTAAAGATCAGATGTGTAGAAGTTAGTCTGGTATATAGGGAGAAGGGCTGCAGAATACAATGGGAGGCATACATACTGCAGACACGAAAATACCAAGCAAATCTAATAATCACAATCTTCAAAAAACATTACCGCAAATAAATGTACTGAGCAAATTGCTACTAACATAATATAACTTTAGTAACTATAACTAGTGTTCCAGTCATTGAATTCATAACCTATAGGTTACAAGGTCAAAATTCAACCAGTAATTGTGGAAGTGGGAGAGGGAAATGAAGTTACATCCATTAGTCAACGCTCATAAATTCAGAAAATAACACAATGATTAAACATTCACTGGTTTATATCCATTGGTCACTAACAATAGTTCATGTTTATTCATTAATATCATTTGGTTAATATCTCAGAAATAACACTCAATGCTGTGATTAATAAAGATGAGTTAATATCCACGGCTTTATAAACTTTCATTAACACCAGTCACATCACTCCACTCATTTATTTCTTTTAGGTTACAAATTTTAACAATGAGTAGGTGTGAGCTTAAATTTACACATTCACACTTTACATTCAGTGACAAGTGATTATGGAATTAGTCAAATACATGGCAGCAAACATAATGAAAACAATTATATTGATGTTCAGTCACTGATACACCCACACAATCATCGACATGCAGTCATACTGACCCACACACATGGTCACACTGACACACACACACACGCACACACATGCACACACACACACAGACACATACACTCGCGCACACACACATACACACACACACAGAGACACACACACACGCGCACACACACGCACACGCACACACACACACGCGCGCACACACACACACACAGTGGAATCCCATTATACTGATCGTTACTTAGACCAGCCATTTACTAAATCCTGCTTCTGCAATGAAGCCTAACCTGAAACAATCCATTTGTACCAGGCATGTCCAACATAGCTATAACCCCAGCACCTGATCTAGCAGTATCTAATCTAATATTGCCCAGGTAACTCTGCCCTGTGTAGATTTCTTATCTATTGGATTTCATGGCTGGAATGTTTGGAAGAGAAGTTTATTATCAGCATGGTCTCGTTGGTAGGTCAATCCTAAATGAAACTTCCATTACCTATCAGTGAGTCTGGACAGATGCAATGAGGACAGGAAATAAACTAAATCATTGGCACAGGAGGGTTTATGGGATCCATCTGTGCAACAATAGAACCAGTCATCTTTCCAGCACTGACCAATATTCTAACTTATCATATTTTTGCTGGCTCTCTATTAGATCAATTCCTAAACTATCCCCCTGCCCTGCTCTCTCCCCACAGCCCTGTATAAATCCCTAAGCTGATCCCACTGCCCCATGCTCTCCCCTTAGCCCTGCATCAATACTTACACTAATCTCACTGACCCGCTCGCTCGCCACTGCCCTGTGTCAATACTCAAACAAATTACATTGCCCTGCTCTGTCTCCCCATCACCCTGTATCAATCCCAAACTAATCTCACTCCCCTGTGCTCTACCCACAGCCCTATATCAATCAGAAATCAATCCCACTACCCTGCTTTCTTGCCCTACAGCTCTGTACCAATCCCAAAGCTAATCCCATTGCCCCACGCTCTCCCCAAAGTCCCATATTAATCCCTAAACTAATCCCACTGTCCAGTGCTCTCCCCATATCCATGTGTTAATTCTTAAACTAGTTCCACTGCCCCATTCTCTCCCCACCGACCTGTATCAATCCCTAACTAATCCCAGTGCCCCATTCTCTCCCCACAGACCTGTATCAATCCCTAACTAATCCCAGTGCCCCATTCTCTCCCCACAGCCCTGTATCAATCCCTAACTAATCCCACTGCCCTGACTATTCATGGTTCTGTAGTTGCCTGTACATCAAATAATTTTCACTCAAATGATGCAATGTTTCTGCCTCAAACACTCTTTGGGGTAAAATGTTCAAGATCCAAAAGCAGTGTGATCAAAGCAATTGCTCCTTGACCCTCTCTGTCTTCTCACTCAGTTCAATAGTTAGATTGCTTGTGATAATGGGAACTGTTGTCTATACAGAGGGTCTAAATTAACGTTCAATCTCCCATTGAGATCGATTAGCATACCAGGTTTCCACTGAATGTAGCTGTTGGGTGATGGGATTGTGTTCTCTAACTGTACAAGGCTGCAGTGCCCTCCATCCAATCCATTTGTCTTCATTCCATTTATCCTGCCATTCTGTAAAACAGAAACATTTTCATCTTTGCTTTATTATCGCCTGTTTCAGATCATTTGAAATCTTGTTCGTTTCTAGTGCTCACTCCAGGCTATAACATATATGTGACAAAGTGAATTCACACACTCCATCAAAAATTTCCACTCAATCCTACACTCAGCTCACTTCAGTCCTCAGGGAATGGGAACCTGTCTGGGTCTAAACTGGACTCTGGTTTCGGACTGTTGGATAAATAGGGATAAGAAATGAATGCTGCCTTGCCTGTGTCATCCATGGTGCTCGCTCACCTTTGTCCCCCTCCACCCACAGATCAACAAATACCGCTCACGCTTGGACATAGAGCAGTTTTTCCGCCGCCTCCGCCTCCACGCTTACTTCT